ACACATACATATACCTATACATACCTAAATATACATGAGGTATATAAAGGTACTTGTGCACAAATGTTAAGTATGTATATAATCTGTTTTAATTTTATAAATTGAATGCCATTACTATGATGGACTGCAAATTTTATGGCTCATATATACATGTTTTATGCTTAAAATTAATTTCAATATTCTATAATTATTATATATACTATGTATTTTATAAAACTCTAAATAACTTTAGAGTCATGTGCTCTTTAGAAATGAAAATATGATTTTATTACAGTGATAAGTTATTTTAAAATACACTGTTTTTCTAAGATGTTTTAAATTAAATAAAGTAATTATCATCTTCCCTCATCTATCTATCATTTTAGACAGCATTATAAACTTATTTAAAACAAAAAGCATAATTTAGGACCAATCTAAATCTTTCTGGAAAGGATTATGCTTAGTTTAAAAAGAATTTTATAGCATGGCATGGTGGTGCACACCCGTAATCCCAGTAGCTCAGGGGGCTGATGCAGGAGGATCCCAACTTCAAAGCCAGCCTCAGCAATTTTGCAAGCCCCTAAGCAACTTAGTAAGACCCTGTCTCAAAATCACAAACTTAAAAAGGCTGGCAATGAGGCTCCATGGTTAAGCACTCCTGGGTTCAATCCATACTTCCAAACCAAAAAAAAAAAAAAAAAGAAGAAGAAATTTTGATTATACTATATTAAAGTTTTTGCTACAGTGAGTCAAAAATATAAACTCAGATTTCTAAAACTTAAGGAAAATTATGAACTACTTAATGCTTTTGGAGTATGAGAATTTTTAATTATTTTATTTTATAACATTCCAGAATAGCCAAAATATTTGTACTTACTTAATTATTATTATTATTATTATTATTATTATTATTATTATTATTATTATTATTTTAGATAGGGGTCTTGTTATGTTGCCTAGGCTATTCTTGAACTCCGGAGCTCAGCGATCCTCATGCCTCATCCTCCCCAGCAACTGGGACCACAGCCATGTCGCACTCTGCTGGTCTCTGCATGGCAACTGGGCAAGCCAGTCTCTGTAAAGGAAGAGGAGAAACATGCCACCATCTGAGAAGAAGTCCTTCTAAATTCAGGTTACTGGATTCACATTCCTGAGACTTTGCCTCAGATTATTTGGGTGGTGCCTAGGAAATGTAAAGAGATTAGCTTTTCCAGGTGTAGATGGTTCTTCTGTACAGATATTTCCTCTAAGAGATACCTTCATCAAGAATCAAGGCTGATTCTAGTGGGGTAGGGAGGGGGAGCATGGGAGGAATAGATAAACTCTAGATAGGGCAGAGGGGTGGGAAGGGAAGGGAGGGGGCATGGGGCTAGAAATGATGGTGGAATGTGGTGGTCATTATTATTCAAAGTACATGTATGAAGACATGAATTGGTGTGAACATACTTTACATACAAATAGAGATATGAAAAATTGTGGTCCACATGTCTTATAAGAATTGTAATGCATTCCACTGTCATATATAAATAAAAAATTAATAGAACAAAGATAAGAAAAATTTTTTTTTAAAAAAGAATCAAATCTGATGGGGAAAGATATCTAACTCAGGAAGTTTGGGTTTGGTTCTTTTGCTGCTTTGCTCACAGGGCCATAAGATGAATGTGGATCTACATATTCCAGCAATTGAAATAAACACTAGCGAGAAAAGGCTCATCCCTCATGCCCCAAGTCATTACAGGGGATAATGAGGTTTGCGGACAAAGTTTACTGTCTTCTATGGGTCCAGTGCATTGTGCCCCATTACCATTACCATGGTAACATCAAAGATCACCCATCACAGGTCTCCACAACAGCTATTGTAATTATGAAACAGGCTGAAATTGAGAATATTGTGAAAATTGCCACACGTGACACAGAAACATAAAGTGACCACACAGTGTTGGGACAGTGGCACCAATGTCTTGCTAGGTGTGGGTACTGTCAACCTCTAATCTGTAAAAGACACAATATCTCAGAAGGGCAGTAAATGAGGCCTGCCTGTACTGATTTCCTGCCCTGCCCCCTTCCTTTATCTAATGTTTCTGGGTCGATCTGAGTTTTCTCTTGTTCCTGTGTGATGGGGTTCTGGTACCTGTGTCCTTCTCTGTACTCTGCAATTCCTAACCTGGCACTTCTCACATAGTTTTATTTTCTTCCTATAAGTGAATTGACTTGAATGGAGGCTACATAGTGTTTCCAGTTGTTTACACAGAGGAAAGTAAAACAGGCTTGATTATCTGGAACAAACAAGATTTGTGAGAATGATCTTTTCAAATATATCACAAGCTTTTTATTTCAATAATATAAACACAGTATTTCACAGGGCTTCATATAATTAACTTTTAATTGACTTAAAGGGGGTTCTTCAGCATTAGAATGTGGAATCAGTGAAAACAACGACTTAAAAGATCAGGTTAAGCATTAGGAAACCCGGAAATATAGAGCTGCACATATTGATCAGGCTTAATGGCAAAAAACAAGGGCTGTGGAGTTGATGGTACAGAACATTAAAGTTAAGTCCGTGAATAAACTTTAGGACAATTCGAGCATATGTAATTATATGTCAGGGGAAATTCATTTCAGATTTGCATAGAGTGCATTAGTGAATTATTTATTCAGAGTTTATGTCTCCCACCTCTGTATTTGGGAATATCGCCTCTTTTTACTAATTCTTGCTGAAGATTTCCTTGGATAAAATGCAGAATGCATATATTATTTCAAATGAAAGTATATCTATGGTTAAATTAGAAGCATTGTGTGAGTATAAAATTCAATATGATGAAGTATAAAAGAAGTTTTTATAATATTAAAAATCCATAGAACTTGATTCTGCTTCTTTTTAAATAACCATAAAATAATTTCTATTTTATACTTGACTTTCACACGGTAGATGCTAGACTTGCATTATTTTAGATAACTTTCTGGTCATTTTCTAGATAATAAGCAATTCCATTAAGTAACCAAAGAAATGTAATCATTATCTAGTGCACAAAATACAATAAATTAAGATACCTACAAAAAGAAATACTTTTCACTACTACAAATGAAATAAGAATTCAGCAATACAAGGTCTCCATAGTTGAAATTTTGGGCTGTAGATGGTATCCTGATTCAATGGAGTCATTAAACATAGGCAGCTTAACATAAGCCTATTTTATGCAAATATTGCACTTGTGGTTGTCCTTGTGAGGAATGAGCAGGTGATAAAACCAACTGAGCAAGTGAAAAGCCACATTTTTAAACTAGAAATGCAAAAATCACAGATGTGCCTTCAGAAAAAGGGAAGAAAATGATCATTTAGGACAAAACATTGCCTAGAGAACAACAGATAGATACTTCCCTTTGGATAATGCTAGATTTGTTTGCCTTTTGAAACTGAAAGTATTATAGTGAAGGAATACTCGAACAATGCTTCATTCTTTTTTAAAGTTGTCTTAGAAGGCATTTGGAAAGATAAAATTAGATGCAATTAGAACTTTTAAATTAACTTTAAATTGGTGGGTATTTTCATTTGGTATTTCTATGGTTTGGATATAAGGTGTCCCCACAAAAATCAAAATATTTGTTAATGCAGGAATGTTCAGAGGAAAAGAGATTGGATTATCAGAGCTGCAACTTAACTGGTCCATCCTACTTTGTGTGTTAACTGTAGACAGATGGGGCATGGCTGGAGGAGGTTTGTTGGGGGGGGGGTAAAGGCAGGTGACAGGGGGGTGCCCTGGAAGGGTGTATCTTCCTTGTGGCCCCTTACCCCTGTTAGCCCTGCACCTCTGCTTCCTGGCTGCCATGAGGGAGCAGCTTCCCTTCACCATGCCCTTCCACCATGATGTTCTGCCTCACCTCAAGGGGCCCAGAGTTACGGAGTTGGCTTACAATAAACTGAACCTCGGAAAACATGGGTCCAAATAAACTTCTCCTTTAAGTTGTTCTCAGGTATTTGTGATCATAGCATTGAAAAGCTAACATGACATTGGTTTTAGTCAATGTGCATTTCATTTCATCCAGAACATTCCATGGTAGATGTCTGCCATTCTTTTGACTACCGAACATATGAATTCACAGGTTTTTAATTTCCTACTTTGTGATATGATCTTGTCTTTTATGGTAAATCCTGAAGAAGTGAAACACCCACTTTCCAAGCCTTCCTTGAATCTATAACTTGTACCCATGTCTCATGAGACTGACACAGGTCTATCATGTATATGCCCTCCAGAACTTGAGGTGAGGTAGCTTCTTCTTGATGTCCTGCATGGCACCTTCAGCTGTTTCCCGTTCCTGTGGAATTCTAGCTGCAGTTTGTGTCATGTATAGGAGCATCATCCACTGTGTCTTGCCTGCCCCAAAGTGACAGGAATGGTATTTTCAAAGGACAAGCTGTATAGAAAATAGGAGTTTGCTTATTTATTTTTTGTGGCTACATGCCTTATGAATGTGATTCTCCAATTTTCTAGATACTATGAAGAAATAAATTCAGAATTACAAATCCTTACTGATACTAAAGTCATCAAGCACCTTGTCTCTAATGAGCATGGCTTTGTGGGGAGGTTTCTGCCTAAAAATGAGCAGGAGGGAGGTCACACTAAGATGAAATCCTGTCATTCTTCTCCGTCATTATGAAAGCAGAAGCCCCTTTTCTCATAATCCATATTCTAAACAATTATTTGGCATGATCTTTTCACACCACCACAATTTAGTCATATTATTTTTGCCTTATTTCTGAACAAAACGTTTTTAAAAGATTTAGCTTGGGAATAACACATTCCTAAATTTAAAGGGTGATATATATATATATTTAACAATATAAAGTGTTTTATGTTACCAAATGCATTATCTTCTGAATTTTACATTGTATACATAGGAGGGCTGATTAGAATATATATGTTACAGATAAATAATATGTATTTATACAGTTAAAGAGAGTATTGCTGAAAATTTCACTTACTCTATATTAAAATTGTAAAATAAAATAAAGAGGTGAAAGTGGTAGATGATTACCTAAATTGAAACAAAAATGTTAAGATATTCAAGAACACACACTATATATTACATATTATTGTGAAGTATCACTTAGGCATCAGTAGAATGATAGAAAAATCATGTCGTCTATAAAAGTAGAAGAGGAAAGTAAATCTTTTTTTAAAAAATTTTGTTTTATTTTTATCACTAGGCAGCAAGATTCAGATGATTTTCAATGACAAGAGAAATAACATGTTCCGCTTCCCTGGTCAGATTGTCCACACCATCTTCTGGAAGTTGCCATTTATAAAGATCATAAATTGTTCTTTTGCTTCACAAATCACCAATTCTTCAGTAACACTCATTTGAATAAGAAGGAATATTATTTCTCAATATAGAATATTCAAAAGTTTGATGCTTTAAGTAAATTAGATTCTTACATTGTGTATATATTTATGTTCTCCAGGTCTAGGATCATCTATCTGCTCACTGTTTTCCTATGTAGCTGGTGGTAATTTAAAATTAGCATGTAGCATTGATATTAAATATTTAACTGAAATTAAATTGCACTTAAAAAGAAAGTAATTCATATATTTACATTATTCTTCAGAGGATGTTATATTTTTATAAAAGAGGGAGACAGAAGGTACTACTTTCCAGAATGGCAAAGGGCCTCATTCAGAAACAATTACAAATTTGGGGGAGAAATGGGAAGAAAAGCTTTTGCAGAAAATTGAGTGATTTCTTGACATGCTTGTAGAAGTGCAGGAACACACCTCAGAAAGAAACAGGACAGCAAGACCTGTTTGAATTGGTGGCTTCCTCCAGACACACCTAGACTTGCATCCATGCAGAGAAGCAATCCCAGGAAACAGCTGTGGGTACGTGGAGATTGGTCACTCAGAGGGAAAACCCTGGAAAGGAGAACCTCATGCATGAAGCATTTCTTTACAATGAGACCATCCAAAATGCTCTCTCTTTAGTTATTTTGCAACAAGAGCAAATAATCGTTGCCAACCGCAGTCAGGCCACTGTGCTGTAGAGCCTCAGAAGGTGTTACCCCCACTAGCTGCACCCTGTACCTGTAATTGTCCTTTCTCGCTCCCTTCTTCCTCTACCCTCCCTAACCTCTGGCAACCAGTCTTCTCTCCATTTCTGAGATCATCTGCTTTAGCTTCAAAAGGGAGATATTCAAAGAGGTACAGAGGAACATTAGGGACTATTATGGATAGTGATACATCAGTAAATTGGAAAACCTAGAAGAAATGGGTAAATTGCTGGACATGTAACTTACTATGATTGAACCATGAATAAAGAGAAAACCTAAAAATCTAATAATGCGCAGTGAGATTGAATTGGTAATAAAAGCCCCCCACTCCAAAGAAAATAAACCAGACAAACAGAGTAAAGGACATGTTTTTACTGCTGTTCTACCAGACTTTTCAAAAAATTAACCGTGATTCTACTCAAAGTACACCAAAACATTGAAAGGGAGAACATGCTTCCCCGTGCTTCCTACAAGCTCAGCTGTCATACAGGACTCTTGGGTCCCAGCTCCCAGCTCCTCAGACACCACACTTTGCCTTCTGTGACTACATCAAGTGAGGGTTCCAGGCCAGCCAGGCTCCAGCAGGTGAGACTGGGGTGTTCTTGGGCTCCCCCCTCATTTACCTTGGTTGAATTCATGCTTCCTCCCACCTCCTACCCTTCCTCCTGCCATAGTTGGGATCTCCAGCATCTCTCAAAGGTCCATGTGCTAAGGCTAAGTGCTCAGTCTATGGTGCTACTGGGAACTGGTGGAGATTTTAGCAAGTAGGGTCTAATAGAAGGTTTAAGGTCACTAGGGGGTGCTCTCTAAGGGGACTGCAGATGTCTATGTCTTCCCCTCTCTTGCTCTTGGCTTCCAGGCAGCAATGAGATAAAGGGGCTCCCTGTGGTCTCATGAGGTACTATGCCACCACAGACTCGAAGCAACAGGGACAGTCAGTCAAGGACTAAACCTCAGGGTTGAGGGTGTAACTCAGTGATATAACACAGTTTTATGGTTCAATACCATAAACTCCCCAAAACTTTTCCTCTTTTAAAATTCTTACCTCAGGCATTTTGTTACATTAATGGAAAACTAGCATGCATTCTTCCTTCTCTCATTCCTTCATTTCATTGCTCTGTCTTTTCTTCTTTCATTTCTTTTTCTATCTGATGAGAATTGCTCCTTTTTTTCTCCTAGTAAAAACTATTCATTTAAAAGTTCAGAACATTCTTATCTAGAATTTTGGTGATGAATACTAAAAACTCTTGACTAAGAAACTGACCTGCCATAGTTTTTGAAAGAAATGCTCACTGCGCAGATTGAACACGGTATTGAGAGACACATCCTCCTCACTAGATCTCTAATTGTTTCTGCCACATGACTGAGTCAAAGGTTTCATGATTCAATCATTAAGTTTTTTTAAAAAAAATAGTTAAATATTCATTAAAGGAATATCACTATAAAGGAAGTTGACTAATGATGTTTCTTATTTTACAACTAAAATTTTAAATTTTTATGGCATATAAAGGAGTCTTGAGTAACCAAGCCACTTCATCTACTGTTCAAACTTAATTTTCATTACTGTGATGCTGTCGGGTGCAATTTAATGGTGAATTTGTGAAACCAGAATAAAGACTATGCTCACTTTTATGTTACAGTGAGGCATCTAAGTTTCCCATTGTGTCACCACAAGCTCCACAAAGATTGATAAATTAATCACTGAATTTAACAAACCTCAACATGCTCATATTGACATTGATATTTTACTTAGGATGGCAAACCTAAAGTAAAGGCCTGCAGGTACCTGATAACGTTACTCATCCAGAGGTGACTGGCAATTTTCCTCTGTGGATGTTGTTAAAAGGTGCTTCCTCTGACAGCATAAGGCCAGTCCGAAGACATAGCCCCATGTTGTTTTTAAATTGATATAAAATTGAAATCCCTTGAAAGTGTATTCATTATTGATTTTACAATCAAGCACTCTCTGCAAAATATATCTTTATTAAAGATCTACAAAATGGTCTGATCACTAACATAAAATTTGATGTGAAGGAAATTTATCCTTTATTTAATAACCAGTTGCTTGAATATGTCTTTGGAATTTTAAAAAATCATTTTGATAGCAGCATTCGAAAAGATAATATGGTTAGTCAGCTTTCATTATAAAAAAAGAACACTTGAGATAATCAACTTATAAATATAAGAGTATTTTGACTCACAGTTTTAGAGGTTCCAGTCCATAATCAGTTCCATTACTAAGCATCAAGCCATGGTGGTACCATGAGGCAGAGTAAAATTCCTCAAGTCTGGACCCAGGGAGCAAAATAGACTGTGTCAAGGACACGCCTCCAATGACCTTAAGCCCTCCCACTAGGCTCCACCTCTTAAAGTTCACACCATCCCCACTAGTGTCACCCTGGAGACCATGCCATAACTCTCCTAGGCCTTTGAGGGTCAGTCAAGATCCAAATTGTAGCAAATATATAGAACTTTTATTTTGGCAATCTCTTTCCATTCTTATATTCTATTTAACCAGATCTGTAGCCCAAGGACTCACCAGCTTGTCTTTAATTATGGCAACATAATATACTCAGATGTTTTGATAACTCAAAAATAATTCTCTTTTTTAGCCAGGAAAAAAAGTTGATGCAAAGCCAGATTGTCCCACTTCACAAAACACATACAGATTTGATATTGAGTAATATATATTCAAAATGTTTTTTTCTAAGTTTAAACGCACTAAGAACATAAAATGAAAAATAAAAATGAAATCCCTATTCTCAATTATGAATCCCCCAAAGTAACAATTTTTAAGAGTTGTTTTAATCCTCTTCATGAAATGTACATAACATGAATATATACCTGTCATAGTTTGGACATGAGATGTCCTCCAAAAGTCTTGTGTGAAAAAATGCAAGTTTGTTCAGAGGTGAAAGGATTCAATTATGAGAGCCTTAACTTAATCATGAATTAAGCCACTGAGAGAGGTTAAGAGGGTGGTAACTGCAGGCAGATTGGGTTGGTTGGAGGACATGAGCCACTGGGAGTGTGCCTTTGGGGTTTATATTTTGTCCTTGGTGAACAGAGCCCTCTCTGCTTATAGACTGCCATGTCCTGAGCTGCTTTCTTCCTCCTTGCACTCCTGCCATGATGTTCTGCCTCATCTTGGGCCAAGAGCAATGGAGTTGAGTGACTAAGGATTGAATCTCCGAATCCATGAGCTTCAAATAAACTTTTCCTCCTCTAAGTTGTTCTTGTCAGCTATTTTGGTCACAGACATGAAAAGCTGACCAAAAAATATCCATTTCTTAATTTTGGATATTATTTATGAATATCCAGGAATTTAATTCATGGAAACTATTCCTATTTCTTCACTTACTGTCCCAAATTTTGTGTGTTCTAATATGGTTTTTATTTATGTGAAATGTTTCACAATTATGTCTCCATCTGTCAATGTTAGAAATTATATCTTAATGGTCCTATTAAGCAGGCCAATTAAATGCATATGTCTACAATCTTCTCTTACTCTTTATTTCCCAGCTATTATTTGTAGTATTATTTTAACATTTATACTTTAAATATTTTAAATTAAAAAACATCATATAACATAACATCTATATAAAAAAACAGTAAAAACAGTTCCCTTTTTCCTATAGGTCCATTCTACAGGGAAAAGTAAGGAACAAGATTTATACTACTATGATTATCTAAATATTAATTTATGCACAAAATATGAAATTGAAACAGGAGAAAAAGGGATGAAGCTAAAATCTACTAAATCTGTTGCTCTAGGTGAATGGTGAATGGTCCAGAGAAAATGTGGTATGTAGTATTGTTCAGCAAGCTGTTCATAATTATAAAAGTTTGTTTTGACGTGTGAGACATTATTTAAAGTGAAATTGCACTTTTATGGATTTTCCAGCTACCTGTCTGTTTCTTTTTTACTTAAGCTATGCTATCAGATGATAGCATTTACTAATGGTATCCAGTGCCTTCAGAGTAATTTTATTACAGTAATATATTTTTCCCTAAAGGTCCCATGACCTTCTTTCCTAATTTCAATTGCTTGCTTTCATGCTAATCATGGTACTCAACGATAAACCAGAGGTATTTTTCTTTTTTTCTACAATAAAATATATGGGCTAAATAGAATATCACTGTTACTTTAGACGCCTTTACTGTTTTGACAAAATGTATCTATGACTATAGTTTAAGGGAAATTAACCTCCAGATATGCAAATATAGTAGCTTATATTTTTTTCTATTTTGTTTTGGCTTGGCGTTGTATGCTCATAATCATGTGCCATTAGAAATCAAGAGGTATGGAACATTTTGCATTCGATATCGTTATGTGATGTTTGGTTCCAATATGATTCCAAATTCTTATAAGTATTCTGTTCTTCACCTTTTGAAACTTAGTATCCTCTGATATTCATAATATCTCACATTCAAGTTTCAATTCAGTAAGCTTCAAGTGCATCCCAAATATTCATCATTAGTAAGTAAATACAATTTCAGCCTTGAAATAGTAGGCAGGAAAAATGACAGTTTTGCAATCTGCCTTTCATACCACGTTTCCTTAATCTTCTTAGCATAAGAAACCAAAAAGTGTGAAATAATTATGCTTGCAGAATTACATGAAGGTGACGTATTCAGGTAGCTATTCTTTGCTTTTATATCACAAGGAGAAAATGAGTTTATCTATTTCAATACATATTTCTTGTAAATACTTGAATGTTTTCTACCAAATTTCTTGGTATAGTTGATAAATGCTTTTATGTCCCTTGTTGCCAAAGTATTTGAGACTTACACATGAAACAGTTCAATTCTGTCATAATCTTATTTCTTCTTTATCTATTTTTAATTATCTCATGCATGCTTACTGACTTCAAACTTGTGCTTTGATGTTATGCTTTTGAGATTTTTACCAAACAAACAAAAAAGCTAAAAACCAAAAAAATGTTGATTAGCCAAATGGAAAATTTAGGTTTTAATTGGTCTATGCACTTGTGTAACAGGGTTTTGAGGGTACATCACAAAAATTCAAAACATTTCTTTAAATATTCGAGAAAAAATGACTTTCCAGTGAAACATCCCTACATTGTGTACTCCTTCTCTATTTTCTAGTGCATGCATATAGTTCGAAGTACTCTTCTTTTGAGAAGCAGGGAGGCATGCAAATGATGGAGTCCAAGAAACAAAAGCAACTCAAAAACCATGCTCAGTTTTTTTCTGATATTCAGATTGGAGAGGCATTTTCCTGGGAATCTGTCACAGGTAAAAGCATTGTAGCATAAAAGCAACAAATGCCTCAGAGCTGCCCCTTGTTTTACACTACGGCATCTTGCCATAAAGCACTTCTGGGATTGCTATTGCACTGGGTGGTGGTAAATGCACATGGTGGAGGTTGAGGGTACACTTCCACTGTGGATTAATTTATGGCTGGCTTTTGGACATTTAGAGACATGAGAGCAAGGTTTAATGTTCAGAGACTTTTCCATGTATTCTGTTTCTCAACTCAGCTTTTTATATATATATATATATATTAAGCAGCAGAGGTGGGGGTGGTACTCTGCCAGGTGATTGTATTGTAACCATTCCACACTGATGATTCCTGCAGAGTGACACTTATGACACCCAGCTGAGCTGAGGTGCCAGAGGGGAAAATGTGCCACAAAAGGCAAACAACTCTGCCACAGCACTGAGTTTGCTTTACCAAACAGCACAGGGAGGTCTACATGTGTCTCCCAAAACATTACAGAAGAAATCTGTCATTGATATTGTAATAATTATATCAGGATCACAAGGAATTAAAAAAAATCCCCTAAACGTACCAAATGTATTTTGCATCTTTCATGCTGATGCACTGTTTGGGGGGATGAAATAGACATTTTTAAAATAAGAAAAACCCCCCAAAAAATCTAAAATTTCCACTTTACGGCAGCAATGGATTTTCCCCTCTTGTGTGAGAGCATTTGGTGGGCTGGAGATAAGGGGCTTCCTTCTCATTTGGATGGTGCCTGGTGACATTACGCGCCCTTCTGGCACTTGCTCTCATTGCTCCTACTCAAAACACACCTTGATACATGCAAGATGGGAAGATGTTGTCAAGGTGTTAAATGATGTGTGACAGTACAACATGCTACAGACAGTTACACATATCATGAATCCATAGCCTGGTGACCATAGAGAACACTGTCTGTTACCCAGTGACTGCTCTCTTGCCCAAGTGGACATGGACATGAGAGTCCACAACATCTTGACCACAGCCTAGTTTCATATCCTGGTTCTAGTTTCAGATCCTTCAGGTCACAGGGCACATATGCCAGATCCTGACGAGTCCTCTGGTCATTGATATTTGGCATTCCATCTCATGAATATTTTAAAATGCATTCATCCACTTTACTATTGATCCATGTAGTCAATTCCAGGTCTTTGCTCCTAATAATGAGGCCACTGGAGTCATTTGCAGATGTGTGTCTGATGATGAATGTCCTCATGTCTGCTGGTGGATTCCAGCAAGCAAACCTGATGGGCTGTGGAGCGTTCTTAGCCAGGAGACACTGTCACTCCCCACCAGTGGCTTGCCTTCATGTGCACATCTTCCAGAAGTATTGAGAATTTTGTTTGATTACTAGTGCCAATTTGTTTACATACTTTTATTCTATTCTGTTAGATACATAAGGGCATTTTATTTGGTTTTTCTCAGAAAATTACTTGATAATAACTGATATAAAGTATTTTCTTATAGGAACTGGGGGTATATGGTGACCATTTTTAGCAAGTTGCCTGTCTGCAACTATTTGCCATTTCCTTGAGAGACTTGTTGTATTTTTCAAGTGGATCTGAAGTTATTTTTTTGATATTTTGAATGGAGTCTATTGTTTAATGGATGAACATTATTTGAGAAGAAAGTCCCTAATTTCACTGAACTGCATGCAAAAGCTTGAGTGTGGTTGGTCTATTTTCACCTCCCTCAGTGTCTGCTAGACATAAGGGATGGAGGACCACTCTGTCATCACCAGGAAGTTTTAACTTTCCCATCCACTCAGTCTGGAATTACAGTTTGTCTCTATGAGGTAGGACAGATGTATCAGATAAAGCATTTATTGCAAGACTATTCATCCCACTGGGTTTCAGAGCCCTCTTTAGTAAATCCAATAACCACACATGTGTCTACATGTTTCAGCAATCTGTCTTCTTCCACCTCATGGTTTGCTAAATACTTTATTTTTTTTCTGAAAAAATGTATTCTCACATTATAGTAAACCTCAATATTTGATATTGATATTGATATTGAATTGGA